ATATTGATCAGTTTCTTTGTCAGCTTTAGCTGAGGATCTTGCTTTTCCTCTTGAGAAAGTTCATCCAACAGCAAAAATCTAAAACAAAAGCAATGATAGCATGCATAAACTGAACTAGGTCTACCCAACTTCTGCCTCCTTTGTGGTCATACAATACTGATTTGCTCACAGAAGCTCAAGCAAATCTTTTTGATGAGTAGACAAAATACAAGACCACAGAAAAGGTAAACAGCAAGATATAGAGGGAGACATGATTACTTACAGAATCCAGACAAAGAGCGAGGCAGCATGCAAAGCATATGGTTAGTCATGGTGCAGATGCGTCTTCATGCACCTTAGGGCCATCACATAGATGGGCATGTCTGTGTGAGGACAGAAAGACAATTATTCACTCTACACAACAGAAAACAGCTGTAACATTTAGATGATTTCATTCAGATTCATATTTGAAATTCTGAAATGGTGTCAGCTGCCATGGCTTCGTTGGTTTCACTGATTTCACTGATTTCCAGAATAAATTCAAATATGGGGGGTCTCTCTTTCTTACTTAGCGCTTACTCTGGCAAAATTCCCATCAGTAATGGATGGGAATTATGCCTGAATATGCATAGAAGGATTAAGCCCAGAACAATCAACCTCCATTTGAATTTCCTGATGTTTGTTTCTTTTTTGCTGAAATTTTAATATTATTTGGCTTTTGTTAATCATACAGGAAAGGAGACAGACACTTTGGATGGTTAAAGTTAGAGGACATACCCTAAACGTCACTTCAACCAGAAACAAATTCACATGAGTCAAATGGGTCAGACTGCTAAAAGAAGTACTAAGCTTACTTCAAACACCTTTCTGGTTTAACTGCTGCAAATATCTTTAGTGTGATTTCAAGTGGGTGAGGGAGCCAAACCCAAAACACAGTGTGTCCTCCTCTCTGTTTGTCTGTGCTCCTGACAGGCTGCTGAAGTGGACATGGCAGGGTTGTGTGTGTAAGTCCAAGCAAGGGTTTTCAGGCTCTGGAAGCACTGAGTACCTGCTGTCAGGACAGAAAGGATGCACCAGATGTCTGGAAGAGGAAGAGAAGGGAGCCTGATGCTCTCCCAGCTGTCCCAGTGTCGTGACATGACCACTGGCTGGGATGTCCCAGTGCTGTCCCCAGTACCACAGAAAGGAAGAGGTAGCTGGACCTTCTCACTGGACTGCTCTTACCCTCACTTCAGTTTTTTTCCTGCTCCCCTTCCAGCACACTGTGCTCAGTGTTGACTACTCCTGCTGTCCCTGAAGTCACGCGTTTTCCTGTAGGCACACGCTCTCTCTCCAGCCTTGTTTATTTTCCTCCCCTTGGTGCTGTGGTTTTGAGGGCTCTTTGTCCTAGATGTGTATCACAGTAATTCTGAAAATATTTCTACTTCTCATGTCTTCAATCCTGGTCTGGCTTCATTTCAGAATAATATTTTGAGTAACATGCACACAAGCTCTCAGACTGAGGGAGAGTGATGTATGAACTCAATATGAGCCATGCCAGACTAGACTAAGGCTCTGTCTACATTTGAACCCTCTCTCCATCTGACACATTTTAGGGAACAGTTAAAATACAGACACGTTAATACTCTCTTAAAATCTGGGATATGTAACTCCAAGTTTTCAGAGATGGAAGTTGATGCTTTTTTACATTTTTTAAGCTTGGATTTATTTTTATTCCATGCATAAAATTTCAATTGCTTGAAAATGTATACTTTGAATTATTTTAATTGTATTTTTAAATAAATTAGGTATGTTTATTACTGTTTTTCTACAAATAGAAATATGGTATCCATTGCATTATGTGAGTTGGACTTCAGCTGCTTAGGTACACACTGTGGTGCAAAGCATCTCCTTTTAAAACACATCCTCGACCTGTTCACGTAATTCCTCTTAATCTTTGCACTGGAAGCAACAGTGGAGTCACTCCCTATTCATCACCTCTGTTTTTCTCAGGATTTACTACCCTCTGTCAAATTCTTTAGCCTATCAAATCTCTTTTCAGCTATCTCTTTTCCAGGCTAAAGATCTTTTCTTGTCTGAGAGGGGTATTTTCATGATTATCGCAATACCATAAACGCATGTCTAACGTATTTGATCTTCATGGGTGATGATAAATATTGTGTGAATTTTAATGAGGAAGCTATAGCCCTGAAGACTGGACCCCTTTCTTATCCACACAAATTTACACTTCTCCGCTCTTGAGCTTCAGTTTTGGTAGGGAAGACCTGCTCCACACACCCCCAAAGATTCTCCTTGAAACTTTGGCACCTCTGGAAATGACAGAGCTTAAATCCCCCCTTCAGAAAACCACTTTCCAAACATGGACCATTTTCAAGACCATTTCTGAAGCTCTTTGGGCCCTTTTTGATAAAGCAAAGAGAGTTTGGAAATTTACTCTGATCCTTTTAGAGCAAAGTCCTGTTTTGTGGGGTTAGTGCAGAATACCCCGTGACGTAGCTGAGCCAAAACTGCGCACTGTAAGTAAGCAGAGTTAAAGACTGACAGTGATTTTGTGTTTCAAGGTTATAATACACAGCAAGTTTTGAAATAATAACCTTTAAAAGTCTATCTACCGAAACTATTTTTAACAGTATTAAACTATTTAGGAAAAAAAAAAAAAAAAGTCCTAAGCAGCCATTGCCCTACAGACTTTACTTGTATCTTCTGTCCTTCCACACTAGAGCTTTCCAAGCCTCTAGTTTCCCTCTATTTGAACCTGCCTTTTATGATCAAAGAAGTCTTTCACAAGTTCCTTACATTTAATATCTGCCTAGACCTTTAGAAAAATCATGCACATATTTTGGGGTATAGAATATGCTAAAATTCAGTCACTTCAGACAAAGCATGTTTCACGAACTCCCGTGAGATTAGCTTAGAAGGGTACTCAACATCTGCTGCGCAGACGAAGACCAGCAGATGTTTTGATTTTGCCTACCTTTTTTTTAAAAAAAAAAAAAAAAAATCTTGGAAGCTCGCCATATGATATTCTTAGTGTGCACTGGGCTTGCACAAGTGAATATGAAATTCCTATGACTAAACTTTGTCATTGTCTGAATACTGCAAAGCAATACGAATCTTGTTTTTCTTTTTTTGTAGCTTGAACTCATAACCCATAGCATGGATCGTTCAAATGCTTGTTTGCTCTGCTGAAGACTAAAAAACCCATCTCCTTTACAGACCTCTGCCTGAAAGCAGAAACTTTTGGCAGACTGACTCTTCTCCTCCTACGTAATAATCTTTTTCCGAAGTCATGTGGACAGACACTTTGCCCTCATTTAAGGGCCATGTACTCTCTTCAGTCTGTGTCAGAACTCCCAGAGGTGTCAATGGGATTTGCATGCATAAATCAAAACTGACTACCCTCAATTTGTGTGTGTTTTAACAATTTATGTGGGAAGTCTGAACTCCAAGTTTCTAGCCCTGAACAATGTATCCTAAAATAATTTAAGCCAATGAATTTTTGCTATTTGAAAGAATTCCAAAGTATCTATCCTAGCTTTTTAATGATAAGACAAGAGATAATTTAAAAGATGAATCTCTTTCCTCCTTTTACTTTTTTGAGGGCACTATTATTTTCACAGAAAATCGTTCATTTCCTCCATGCGTGTTTATTCATATTCTGTTTGAGCCAAAGACTGAGGCCTAAAATGTCAAAAAAATCACTCAGTTGTTATTTGAAAGCTTTCTTTTCAATACTTAAAGTAAAATACATCCTGATCTCTCCTCCACACTCCTTTTAAGCACTACCACTAAAAAAATATCCGATGGTCAGGAAGTGCTGAGGCAGCATGTGCCAGCAACACATCCTACTGCAGGGAGCTAAAGGGCAGACTCTGCTCTGCAAGACCACATTCCTGCCTGCTCTTTGTCATAGTTTGGGGACAGCAAATGAAAACCATAACTAGGGCTGTAGGTAGTAAGCCACTGGCAGCAGTGGTTCTGGGAGGGAAAGGTTTCAGGGGTGAGGAGAGAATCCACCTCCCTGCACTCAGGAGCTGGATCTGATCCCTCTTCCCTTCCTCCCAAAGGTACAAGAGGAAGGAGGAAGAAGCAACTTCCCTTCATCTCCTTCCACCTTTCCCAGAATGGCTCTGCTGCTCTCATCCACACCAGAAAGATGCTGGAGACCACCTACCAGTGACTGCCCACAGGGCACTTCTGTTACTGAGTTAATGGTGCCCCGGGAGGCAGATTTCAGAGGACATTTTCTAAGAACGCGAGTATTTCCCATTCTATAAGCACTGTTCCTTCTAGCTTTGCTCCTCCCACGCAGTCTTAAACACCTCCAAGCTGAAGCACTGCCTGGCATCTGCGAGGGAAGTGGACAGTACAGGGTAATCGCGTAACCCTGCCTGTGGCTGAAATGGAAGGGCGTCTGGCTCTGCTGGCTCCGTACTGTGTGACATTTCCCCAGATGGATGCTCTGGTGAGCACAAAGGGAGACTCGGAATAAGCTGAAGTAACATCAGGTTCTTATTTCTGTTCTAAAGCTGTCATTTTATCTCTAGCTTAGATAAAATGTAGAATGCTGTGAGTTCCCTGAAGAGGACTTAACGTTTCAGCTGCGGCTGTGTTTCCGCTGTGGCATGAAGTCACTCAGTAACAGAACATCACTGCAGTAAAAACAAAAGTGACCTGCATTCCTCCAAAAATTGTAGGGTATGTGATACTGTGGCGTTGCCTCTGCAGGCACGAATTCTGTGTGGGTTGAACACAGGGATGTATTCCGTCCAGCTGTATTTGGGGGAACGTGAAGGGGGAGGAATATAATGCTTTCTTTCTCCATATTTGGAAAGATGCTTGGCCATGTTTCATTGAGTAATTCAACCAAAAAGCTATTTGGCTAAAGGACAGCAGTCCTCAGACTGTTTGTTTGCAGAAGGGCTTTTAACTGGGGGTAAAGACTTCCCTTTTATTTAGTAAGCAGGGTGGTGTTAAATGACCATATGATCTTGTGGGGAGACAGCAAAGAATTACTGGAATTCATGAAGTCTGTGGATTTTATTAAGACAATTAAAGAGATTCAGGAATGTGATTGTAAAAAGTAGTTGAAGTTCAGCTCTTAAACTTGCCTTGTCCGGAACAGTCAGCCCTCCTTTGCCACATGGCAAGGGCACTTTAATAACAAGACCTAGCATTTTTCTCGTTACTTGCTGTTTTGTAATAGAACAGAGTCACAGCCCAACACCACCTTCTCGTGCACGTTGTCACCAGAAGCAACACGAAACCTGCGTTATCTGTTCAGGCAGAGAAGCCCAAGGCAGATATTCTGACCTTCAGGGATGCTCGAAGTGGGAAAAACTCCTTCTGCTCTCCACTTCCCCATCTGCTACAGATCAGCATGAACCAAAGCACAAACAATATGCATGAATACAACAGGGAAAAGACCATCAAAAGCAGCGAGCTTAAGCGTATCAACATGGAAAGGATTTGTAAAGAACTGGCAGGCAGGCTTGGAGAAAGCAATTTCATTACAACAGAGATTTCCACTGGAAATGGTGCTTTCAGAAAAGCTTACTGAACATAAGAGTGAACAGAATTCTTGCTGCTTACACACGCACACCCTCCTCCATCATCTGTAAGATGACCTTTTCTCTTACAAGCACAACCCCTTGGACAAAATACTTTCCTGAGGATATCGGAGGTGGAATCCAAGCTTTGCAAAATTCAGTTTATTCAAGAAATCAGTCCCTTGTTCTCTCAGTTCAAATCACGATAGGAACGCGCTGGGATACTTTGGACGCTGCGTCCTCAGTCTTTCCCCCATACAGTTAGATCATGTTTATTACAGATGCTGGTGTTTCACAGTATCACATATTTATTCAGTGTCTGCTCTCTGCGTAACAAGGTTGAATCCCAATGATTTTAAAGGGAGTTACCTGTGCCGTACACAAGGGAGAACACACGAGGAAAGTTTTACACAGGCTACAGGTCACTGATTCTTTCTGAAGTCTTTGGCAAGCAAATTATCCATGTATCTAAAGGAAATTTTCCCTTACCACTTCAATTTTCCTGGATTTTGCTTCATGTCAGTACCATGAGAGGGTCTGACACTTGCATCCCATCAGAGCTTAGCTTTTTTTCACCTGTTTACTCATTTTCTACTCTGAACTGACTGTGTGACAAATATGTTTACATCTTGAACTGATGACTTCACTTTGCTACCCTTATTCATAAGGGCATCTTATACAGCAAATACAGCTTTCAGGTGAACCAGTAAGGGCTTCTGTACAGAGTGATTGCAGGACCCCCGCGACCAAGGAGAATATGCATTTTCACAAACTGTGTATCAAGGGCTAATTTATAATTGCCCTGTTATTTGGGGGAGGGAGGTGTCAGTTCCAATGAGACTGATGAGATTGAAATGAACTGCTGTGTTTTCACACTCGGTCGTTCCCAACTGTGGTCTGTCCTGCTGGCAGTACAGGAGGTGCATATGAAAACTGACCATCAACATGAATCATTCTTCCTTTGCTAACCATGTTTCCAATTCATCCTCCTTTCCTTTGCTTCTGAGTCCCACAGTGCATTATAAATCTGAATCTGATTAGTGTTACAAAAACATGGGGAAAACAAGGTAACCGACAGTTACCTTGCCAACAAACAAAATTGGCCTAGAGAAAATTACTTGTTGATTATGACCCGAACACTCAGGACTAACAGGAACACGTGACAACTGCAATCATCTACTTTAGTTAGGAGCACCTTGTGGAAACCACACTTTCCCTCCACTTTCACCTCCTCTTCTTGGCTATACTTTTCTGTCCTCCGTTCTGGGCTGCACAGAGACTGACACGGTCTCTAGCCCAGTATAATTTAGTTGAAGAGTGTTTTAAGGCATGCTGCTGGTGCTACTCAGACCACGCTGAATGCAACTGGGACGACATCTCTTTCATCCTCCAAAGAGCAACGGAGTAAAGCCATTTGTGGCGGGGTTTCGGTGGTCGTAGCAACTTCCATCTGCCCCCCTTGAAGAACAGGAAGGTTGCCTGTTACAGCAGGGGCACGGCAGAGCAGCCCAGGCGTGATGCTGCAGCCTCGTTTCACTGTCAAAATAAATAAATAAGTAAGTAAATAAGTAAGTAAGTAAGTTTTACTGATCCACTCCATCACCTGCACACCCTTCCGGACCAAAACTCCTCTCCGCACGCCCCTGCAGTAGCGCCTGATTGCTATCTCCTCTTCGAGCACTATGTGGCAAAAGCGCACCTCGGAAAGCCGTCCTTGCGAGGCACTCGGGGTGACCGCCACGCACACCCAGCCCCGTGCTGGACCCCGCGCATCGATCGCATCGTTTCCCTCCCGAAAACGCAGGGTGCCTCCTCTCGCGCGGCGTCTTGCCGTTTTGCAGGGGAATTTGGGCGCTGGGGGAAGCCAAAAGGAGCGATATTTGGGTGTTCCGTCGGCGGAAGAGAGGCGGAAAATTTCAATTAAGTTTAAAGGTGGGGGGTTTGGCTCGCAAACGTGCCGCTGCTCCTGCGGAACCCGCGACAGCGTTAAAGTGGCAAGAGAAGTTAAGCAAAAAGCAGAGGGAATGACAGGAACGTGAGCAAGGGGAGGAAAAACACCGAGCAAGGAAAAACCCGGACAAGAGCATTTCCCCACAAACCCCGTGCCCCCATCGTGGGCGGGGGGCCCCGGGGCTGTGCAGGGGGGGGTCTCCTAGTGAGCTGCGCGCTCACTAGGGACCCCCCCCCACAAAACACACCCACACCCACCGCCCCGTCCCGTATCCCCCCCCACCCCCGGCACCCATCGGGGCGGTCCGGGGCGGTCCGGGGAGGGAGGCCACGGGGGCGGGGGGGATTAAAGGGGCGCGGGTACCTGCTGGGGGCCGCCCTGCGAGGAGGTGTGGCGACGAGGGGGCGCCCGGCCGCCCTCCGCCGCCCGAGCCTCCGGCGTTCGCCATGTGGCCGCTGCTGGCCCTGTGCTGCCTGGGGGGGCTGGCGCTGGCGCTGCCGCAGAGCCCCCGGGTGCCCACCTTCGCCTCGCCGGCTCTGGCAGCCCCTCCAGCAGTAGGAGCAGCAGCAGTAGGAGCAGCAGCAGCAGCAGCGCTGCCCGACACGACGGGGAGCCGCGTGGAGCGCCTGGGCCGTGCCTTCAAGCGCCAGGTGCGGCGCCTGCGGGCGCGGAGCGGGCGTTTGGAGCTGGTGTTCCTGGTGGACGAGTCGTCGAGCGTGGGGCCGGCCAATTTCGCCAGCGAGCTGCGCTTCGTCAAGAAGCTGCTGTCCGATTTCCCCGTCGTGCCCGCCGCCACGCGTGTCGCCATCGTCACCTTCTCCTCGCGCAGCAACGTGGCGCCCCGCGTGGACTACATCTCCCGGCGCCGGCCCCAGCAGCACAAGTGCGCCCTGCTGGGGAGAGAGATCCCCGGTATCGCCTACCGCGGCGGCGGCACCTACACCAAGGGCGCCTTCCAGCAGGCGGCGGTGAGCGCCCGGGGGAGGATGCTGGTGGGGCTGGGGGTGGTGGTGGGGAGCCGGCGTCTGGCCGTTCTGGGGGTCCGGAGTGGGGTTGTGCCCGTGGTGGGGCTTGGGTGTGGTGTGAGTGTGGTCCTGCAGGTGGTGGTGGTGCTCCGAAGTGTGGTCTTCCATGTGGTGGTGGTGTGGGATGTGATCTTCCCTGCAGTGGTGGTGGTGTGGGGTGTGATCGTCCCCGTGGTGGTACTGGCAGAGCGTGGTCCTTTCTGTGCTTGTGTTCCTGGGGGAGTGTGGTCCTGCATGTGGTGGTGGTGCTCCGAAGTATGTTGTTCCCTATGGTGGTGGTGTGGGGTAGGGTCCTCCTTCTGCTGGTGGTGGCATAGGGAGTGGTCCTGCATGTGGTGGTGGTGATGCTGTGGGGTGCAGTCCTGCATGTGGTGGTGGTGGAGTGGTGTGGGGTCTTCCCTGTGGTGGTATGGTGATGTAGGGTAAGATCTTCCTTCTGGTGGTGGTGTGTGTCCTGCATGTATTGATGGTGGTGGTGGCGTGTGGTCCTGTGTGTGGTGATGGTGGTGGTGTGGGGTATGATGCGCCATGTGGTGGTGGTGTGGAGTATGGTCCTCCCTGCAGTGGTGGTAATGTGTGATCCCCCATGCTGCGGTGACGTGTGATCCTGCATGTGGTGTGGTGTCGAGGTTTGTGGAGCTACATGGTGGCGTGGGACATGGTGTAGTCTGGTCAGGGCAACTTGTCACCATTATTCCATGCTGCCTGCACTTGCAGGTCCTCTGTTCTCGGTTGCAGTTGCAAATAAACGCATGAAATGCGCTCTTTGAAGGAGTGTGGATGTAGTTTCAGAAGTGACAGAGGTACATACGAGGCAAGTCTGGCATCTGCCTCCCTGCTTGGCAGTGGGACCCGGTTCCCCGATAGCTGTCAGCAGGCAGGGATGTCTACATACTGTCACCAGGTGACTGTTTCACTTGCTAGTGACTGACATAGGTGCCCTCAGGCTGTGTGTCGCCTACCAATAAATAGAAGCATGCCCAGGAACGTTTCCAGGCGCTGGAACGGCACCGTCTGTGGTGTTAAGTTGTTACTCAGTCCCACGGCACAAGTGTGGTCAGGGCAGCTCCTGGGCACGTGCTGGCACTTGCGCACGCTGGGGAGGATTCCCAGTAGACTCTGGTGGACAGCTAGTCTGCTCTGGAAGCTTTTTTATGAGGGTAAACTGTGCTGATCCTGGCCGTTTATCCTCTATGTGCAAGAGCATTCCCAAGCAAGTCCTTTTTTTTTTTTTTTTTTTTTTGTATTTTTATGTGTAATTTCTGGTAGGTAGTGAGCTGTAGCTGATCATCAGTTGTATTTATCTTGAAACATCTTAGGCACTCATTTGTAGCTAGTGAGCGAGGCTGCAAGATGTCCATCAGCGTTGGGTTTATGAAGCTGGAAACGATTATTCTCTTCTTCACATTTGGCAGCAGACAGGAAAACCATTTTCCAGTGTGCCCTGAGTTACACGTGGAAAACGTGCTTTAGGAAAAGACATTCCTGTGTTCTTTTTCTGTGATCTTCCATTCTGCAGTCAAGATTTGATGCGTATCCATCTCAGGGATGCTGTGTGGAAAAAGTTAATTATAAAAGTTAAAAATGCTGCTACAAACAAAACATAAGGAAATGCTGCTTTCTTGGGCATGTGGTCTTGACTAATTACACCTTTGAAATGAAACAAACAAAAGTTCAGAAACCTACAATTTATTTTTATGAGCACAGCTAAGCCTTGTGGATACCACAGCGTCGCTGTCATTTTACACTGTGGTCCCAGGAGAACACGGGAAGAAGAACATTCACATGATGGCAGAGAGAATTGAGATAAAGTAACACGGTTAAATTTTGTATGGTTTGCTGACTTTTGGTTGAAGATGCTGTCCTGTGGTTTTGTTCAGTGTGTCGTCTTCATGTGAGACAAATTGCAGCTTCGGGGAATACTGTCCTTTCTAGGACTCTTCAGAGAATGGCTGTTCTGTTTGAAATACCACTGCTGGAATAAATTTAGGGAAGTATTTTAAGTATTACAAAGTTGGTGTTCCCTATGGACTCTTATACTGCTGTCCTTTGTTTCTAACTGTCTTTTGTTAAAATTGATACTATTTTTTTCTTTCACTTTCCTAAAATGTCACATTTTTATTCTTATACTTTAATGTGGGATTTCTTCTGCTTCTAACCAGAATTCTCTGCTTGTTTTCCAAAACCAAAAGCATCTGCAAAGCATGGCAAACTCTAACAAATAGTTAAGTGTCGTAGTAACAGAAAACTAAGAAAATGCATCACTGCTATAATCCTGGCACTTACTCTCCATGGGTAGGTGTCAAAGTGAGTTGCTCAAGTCCGTGACAGTTTTATGGAAGAACGAGGCACAGAGAGGGATAAATGAATTCTGTAAGGTCATCAGGCCGGTCAGTGGCAGACCTGGGAGTGGGATGTAGTAGATGAAGAGGAGCACGATATACTTAATATTTACTGTAACAGAACCCGTGGCAGCAACACTCTTCACTTAACATCCCCTGAATGCAGAGCAGAGCTACTCGGTTTCACCAAATGTTGCACGTTCATTCAGTGTCCATCTTCTTCCAAAAAATAAGGGGGTTCTCCTTGGCTCTGAAGTTTGTATCCTCTTTAGAGGTGCTTTTCAGAGAAGTTTATTGCAGAGCTTCTGCATTTTGTCAGAGCTGTCCATGCTTTCGTGTGGACCGAACTTCAACAAAATGCCTACCGAGCAGATTAAAGACAAATCGTATAAGGTACATAGAAAATGTGTCTTTGTACCACAACAGACAGCAGCTACTATCAGTGTTTAGTTTTGCGACCCTGTTTGGGATTTCGTGTCACACTTGAGCTAGCAAGTATCAGATACGTTTACTGATGTAAGAAAGCCTGGTATTTGTGTTCCTTTTCTCAATGATCAAGGTGTCAGAGTTCCTGTTGCCATGGTCTTTTTTACAGAGCTCCAGAGACAGGATTTAATTGCAGGTTTGGGAAAAAAAAACGATCTATTTTGTCCTTGTCCTGGTTTCAGTTAGAACAGAATTAATTTTCTTCCTAGTAGCTGGTGGAATGCTGTGTTTTGGCTTAGGATGAGAAGAGTGCTGATAACACCCCGATGCTTTAATTGTTGCAGAGCAGTGCTTATACTAAGCCACGGACATCTCAGCCTTTTGCTCTGTCCTGCCAACGGGCAGGCTGGGGGTGCAGTAAGAGCTGGGAGGGGACAGACCCAGGACAGGTGACCCAAACTAGCCAGAGGGGTATTCCATACCATTTGACGTCATGCTAAACAATATATAGGGGTGGCTAGCCGGGGGGAGGGGGCTGGACTGCTCGTGGTTAGGCTGGGCATCGGTCAGCGAGTGGTGAGCAATTGCATTGTGCATCACTTGTTTGTACATATTATTATTACTTTCCTATTATCACCATTGTATTATTATTATTATTATTGTTATTATTATTTTTGTTATTATTATTTTCCTGTCTTATTAAACTGTCTTTATCTCAACTCACGGGCTTCACTCTCCATTTCTCTCCCCTGTCCCAGAGAGGGAGGGGGGAGGGTGAGCGAACGGCTGCGTGGTGTTTAGCTGCCGGCCGGGTTAAACCACGACAGTCCTATCTTTAGTTCATCCAAGAGGTTGATCCATTGCAATTACATGTACCACAGACATCTTACGTTAGCTTCAGATTGCAGGAATTTGATGGTATGTTTGTTGTGCTTGCTGGTTAAAGTTCCCCTGTGAAGGCAACTTCTTCAGGCTTGGATTCTGACTGGTTTAATAACATTTCAAGGTGAGTTTTACTTAGCCATTATCAGTGTTGTGTTCATCTGCACGCACACTAGAATGTTTTTGAATATAATTTTATTCTTTAAATTTAGTTTTCTACATCTGTAGGAAGCAATACTCTTACACCTTCCTACTAGCTCATAAAGTGCGGTGGCCTCCAGGCTAACCTTCCAGATACTGTATATTTTTCTTCTTATCTGGCTACTGACTTCATATTTACAGATAAGAGGTTTGTGGTTTTAACTTTGTTAGCATATACAGCAGGAGAAGAAGGAACAGTAGGAAGCTGGGTACTGAATCTGTACCTTTGGCAAGAATCAGTCAAAACCCCTGTATGCTGCTTCTAAAACTAAATGATGAGAGAGCATCTACTTTGATATAACACAGGATCTGCTTCAAGCAGTTGGAGTAAATAACAGCTTTGTTGGAGGTACATTTTTCTACGTCTTGCATTCCCAAGATGTTAGCACTGACTGTGAAATGTAAGATGCTGCAGTCCTCACCTTATGGCTGAAAGCTGTAGCTTGATAAAGACTGAAAATGTATTCAACATTATCATCTATGCAATCAAATAAATGTGGCTTGCCCTATGTATATGTCTTGTGTGATATCTAGAGTAGTTAATATGAAAACAGAGAAAGACTTCTGGCATGAAGTCATTCAAAGTTCAGTTTTAAGATCAACAAAACTTCCTTCAAAGGGCATCAATACATGTGGCTTGAGACTCATTTTCTTATTTGTATAGACTGTGCATTTTTAAGAAGAACAAATGTTGAGTTATAAAACATACTTAGCATAACAAAATATCTGTTAAAGCAGTTATTTAGAGGTATGAACTTAGAGGCACTCCTTCCTGTAATGTGTATGTAACCAGAAATAGTGTAAGGAAGGGGAAGAAACTAAACTCACTCATTCAAAACTCTTTTGGCTCCAGTTTTTCTCATCGTGAGTTGATGGGACAGCACAAACCACTTGCAGCAGATGTTAAGCAGATTGCTTTCTGCATTCTGGAACGCTGCAGGGCTGTTGCGACAGTGAGGAAATAGCTGAAGCAGAAATGAAGAAAGTACAAGCAGGCAGGCTTGAGGAAGTGGTCGTGCTGCTGTTGAAGGGATAAATCTAAAGCCCAAAGAGCTCCCTTCAGTGTGAAGTGCTGAATTTCACACATGTAGG